TCAATTTCACAAGAAAAAAAGAATTCCTGAATTTTCTAAATTATTTTTATGATTGCTTGGCGGATTGTTTTATCTTTTAAATTATTTTTATTAGTACATTTTTATAGTACATGTGACTGACAATCATCTTGGGAGTGGGTAGATGTACACAATACAATGTATTTTTGTTTTAATCCCCTTCCCCTTCCTCCTTTAATTCCCCTTTTCTCCTTTTTGTTCTTGTTGATATCAATCCTAGTTCATGTTATGACATATAATGTTGGTTTGATTCAATCAGCAAGTAACTGGATTCTCATGTAAATAACTTGAATGATAAGAAGACACAAGCAGGTGAAGGACAAATCCTGGATTTATATCTGGTGAGGGATGGAGAAAAGCCTTCTTTTCTTTGTCTGATAAAGCTTAGGAAGAGCACTGAGCTCAAGAAAGGCACATGTATCTGAGTCCATCCCCATGGCCACGTGTCAGCAACCTGACCCAGGAGACTCACTTCGGTTACCCAAATCACTCTCATTTGTAAAGTGCGACTCAAATGAATACATCTTGGCTTTAGGAAGTAGTGAATCCACGAAAAGTAGTGAATTCATAAAAAATACTTAGCAGAGGACCAAGAATAGAATAAGCACTAAAATGTTAAGTATAAGTCTTCACTCAACATTAAATCTTTCTTTTGAATCTAGGTGATTTCAAACACTGTGAAAGATATCATCTCCAACACTCACTGCACAGTAGTTTTTCAGAGGCCATCTTGGCAATGTACCATTACAGGGCCAGGGATTTAGCTCAGTGCCTCATAAGCTCAAGGTTCTGAGTTCAATCCCTGGTACAAAAACAAAACAAAACAAAAAATCACAACAGCATAAGCCAAAACAGTGTGAATCACTATGGATCCTTTGTTTCTCTCAGTCCTGGATCAACTCACAAATTCTACTGGTTCTACCACAAAAGCCAGGTAAGAAGGTGTTTTGCAATCATGGACTAGCTGACATTTCTCTCTCTTTTTTTTTTTCCCGGTGCCAGGGATTGAACTCGGGTACTTGTGCTTGCAAAGCAGGCCACCGAACCGCTGAGCTAAATCCCCAGCCCAGGCTGACATTTCTCTAAGCTTCCCTTTATTCTGTCATAAATGAATATGTTAAACAGAAAGGCACTGAAAGAGGCAAAGAAAGGGGACAAGAGGAAAGTCACATTTTCAAAGAGCATCATAGAAAGGCATAGAACTGAAAACATGAGGGAAAAAAAAAGTGTTCAAGCTGCAGAGAGAGATGGATGGATGGCAGGTCAGTATGAGGACAGGGCAGAATAGCTGAGAATACTAGTTTCCAATGGGGTGGGAGTAGATGGACACTAGCTTTTATGTTCTCTTAATTGATTTTCACTTCATAATTTGATAAAAATTTAACACATTTTACAAAATGGCATGATCTACAAGACCAGCAGCTTGTACCCTGCAAATCAGTCTTACAAATCTAAAGTACTTTTTACTTCGTCACTTTTATCAAATGTGGTGTTTCCTGTTTTAACTTGCCAAGAGCAAAAGTGTCGAAGTCACAGCACAAGCTACTGGGGGACGTTACTCATGACTCACGGAGAAGTGGGAATTTGCAAATGAACAGCAAACTCTAGAGCCACAGTGGCAAACTCATGGCAGCATGTTGTTCTTAAGACAAAGGATATTAATGTACGAGTTCTCTTTCCTAAATTAAAGCCTCAGTATTCAGGTTTAATTAAAGTGGTGGAACTTTGCAAAAAAAATAAGTGGGTGTGGGGTTGCAGTCTGACACTCGTCTTTAAAGATTCATCACCACTGCTCTGGAGAGTGGCTGACGTTGCAATCCGGTGCTTTAAAGATCTTCATATAGAGGTGATATGTTAGTTAGCACACTATTTTTCTGAAACTAAAGCCCCCTTTCAAAAGTTACTGAAATCAGTCTTAACTGAATCCACAACCAAACTGCTTCCAATTCAAAAGTCCTCTCTCTTTTGCATCCATTTGTGTTACACTGTTGCTTAAATTCCTAAGGACTGGTAGAACACTACCACCAATCTTTGTGTAGTGATATTTTATAAAATTGAAGAGATTATAGGTAAGAGCTGGGCATGATGGCACACACCTGTAATCCCAGCACTCGGATCGCTGTGAGTTCGAGTCCAGCTTGGGCTACACAGTGAGTTCCAGGTCAGACTCAACTACATAGTGAGACCTTGTCTCAAAACACCAATCCCCCTCAGAAAGGAAAAGATTATAGGCAATACCTAAATGCTGCTCCATTTACAGCCAGAATAAAATGAAATACATTTCATGAACATCTTTAACTCAAATATTTTAATTTTTAATTACACTTTTCAAATCAAATCACAGTTTCCCTCAAATTGAATACTTAACACCACATCAGCCTAGTTTAGTCGATTAATAAAGACTTCTACAGGTGACAATGCACATATTTGTACTAGATGTCACAGAACTTTCAGCAACCTTGGGACTCTTCAAAAACCCACTTTACTGAATTGTAAATTATATGGTCATGATCTCAAATTTAAAGTGAATTCAAAGAAGAGCTGCTATTCAACTAATAATGATCTTTGCTTTTTTGCTCTCCTTATAGTTTACTTAACAAAATCAATTCATTTAAAATTATAAGATTCTTAAATCAACATGGTTCCAGCAAAATAAGAAGAAATAAGTTAACACATTTCCATCTCATTCATCCTTTTCATTCTCATACTTCAGTTTTGGTTCAGCCAACAACAAATCTCTCCTCAACCACTGTGACATCCAAAAGAAGCTTGTTTTTCTTGCTAGACCATTCTCTGGGAAACCACCAAAATTCTTATTCAAAGATCTGACCTCATGTCTGTACAGTCCAGTATATGCTCGTTAGCACAGCACCCAAGGTCTACTCAATTCAGCTCCTGTCTAACTTCAAATACCTTGGGTTTCCCACCCCAGACCTGCCCCAGGAAGCCTGTGGCACAGCCATTCAGAGACAGGTAACAAAAGCAGAGAGCAGCAGCACACTTCTGCCCCCCACCATGCTGGGAGTGTGCTCAACTGGTGCTTGTCACCAGAGCCTTAATTTCTTAAGAACAAAACAAAGCAAACAGCAAACAAAGAAACAACAGAAAAGCAAGTCCCTACAGTCCAGCTTAACTCTTAGCTTCTGGATGGGTTACAGAATTAGTGAACATTTTGCTGAATCTTTCAATTTTAAAAAATAGGGAAATTAAGTCCCAGGAAGGAACATGGTTTTTCTGAGGTCACAGAGCCAAATAAGGTTAGACTAAGAGCCTCACCTTCTTAAGTTCCAAGCTAACACTCCATCATTTCTAATGAATGGTTCTTTTTCTAAGATGTTATAACATTTACATTATAATGTCTAAATATGTCTTAATAATATGCTTCTAATTGCTTAATTTTTATAGCTGTCCCACGTGTTTATTTTTCTCTTCAATTGCTTAGGAGTTGTCCAAGAACAAGGACCAGTCACATCTCTGCTGCACTCTTCCCAGAGCCTTCCATGGTGCTGAGCAACAGCTAGGCGCTGGACGATGCTCCTTTGACTGACGGTGCCCAATAACAGGAGAGAGCTGCCCATGGGCACAAGGAATGATGCAAGTGAGAACAGTTACTCCAAATTTGATGGCTTTTATAATTCTGATAAAATCTGACAGAGAAAACCCAAACGGTACTATCTGTATATTCATGTGCATACAGCATTATACACAGCACGCAACTTGTTTTCGCTCGGGAATTCGGCACAACACCCCTAGTATTCTCTCCTACTCTACAGGGAGGAAGACAGAAGCAGGTGGCGAGCACTAGGGGCCAAGTCCATGTTCACACTGCCATCAAGTCACACAGAAGGCGAGAGTCGAGGGCCAAAAGAATTTGCAGAATGCATGGTTTACCCTCTATGAATAGTTATTGGCAAACATACTAATTTGCTTAGCATATATTGTTTTGCCTTCATAACAGGAATTAAAGCCAGTGAACAAATAAAAATGTGTTTGCATTTGTATACCTTTTTCATACCATAGTGATACTATATACAAATTTCTAAACTGACATCTCAATGAACAAAAAAATATATATATAAGTGATAGGTTTCAATATTAGAATAAAATCATGATTCATAAAGTTAAGAGTTTTTATTTTCCAGTATAATTATATGAAATCTGTTCTTGGACATGGTAAATGACATAAATGCCCAAAGTAATTAAATTAGAAAACAAAAGCATAGAAGAAATGAGAGAACAGGATTAGATAATAAGTTTACAAGATCAATATAATATTCTTTTTAAATGTCACAAGATAAAATATGTAGGAATTTGCCACTATCTCAATTATCTTTTAGAAGTAGGTGACCTATAATTCCTCATCATTTGCGCTCTGCCAATTCAAAAGGAAAAAGAAAAGAACAAAAGTTAGATAATGCTAACAGAATTTCTTCTGAATCTGGGTAAGGCTCAGAAAGGAGAAATAAAGGACAAATTTTAAGGGCCCTTTAGCAACTGCTGTGCAGCACCGTGCCAATAGCTGTATACTTTGTAAATATATTACTGTATATCTTACAATGTTGAAAATACCACACAGGCTGAAAAGATCTACAGGTGTAAGGGACTCCTTATCATCCTGGAATACCAAGCAGTTGTGGAAAGAAATACTCGTCCTTCACAATCCACACCAAAGCAGGTGGATAACGTTTTGACCATTCTGATCAACCCCAGAACAAAGTGAAAATCATAATTCATCTTCTAATTCTATCCCATTATGGCTTTTCTAATACATAGTTTTCCCTTGATGACATTGATCAAACCAAAGAAACTTTTTATTTCATGCTTCCTTTCTTGCATTTGAAACACGTAGATCCAAATGTGAATTCAGTGAGGGCATATCTGGGAGGTCAGGCATAGTCATGAAGGTTCTTATATAGGTTTCCAAAGGACACTAACCAAACAAGAGAAGTGAATTAAAAGATCAAAAAGGACTCAGGACTCACGATGTTCATCAGGGTGAGGAGGTAGTTCTGGACGTGCTCTTTGCCATGGAAGCGGACCACAGAGTCATCCACTCCCAGCAGCACCTCAATGTTGTAATCATCTTCTCCTGCATGTCTGCGGCGCCTCATCGTTTCATTCAGCTGCTGGTCGATGTTGCTGTAAACTGCATCTAGGTTCAGGCCTCCTAGGTCAGGCTCTAGTATGACACAAAAGAAACCCGAGCACTTAGTTCCCCAATGGCCTTCTCAGATGTTCTCAGAAAAATCAAACCTCCCGGGGAGCTTATTGTTATAATCCAGAACCCCCAGAGGCTGCTTTGACTTTATTCCTTAAATAACCAGCACATGTGTCTGAGAAGAATGAATTACAAATTCAACACAGCACAGCAATATTGAAGGAGAATCATACTATTGTCCCACGAGCGGGGCCACCATGTGAGACTGCATCTGCCCCGAGAGGTGACATCAGTCTTTCCTCGATGTGTCTCAGTGCACAGCGAAGGTGGTGGGGGACAAAACAGACGAGGGTCACATTACTGTTAAGAAGAGTTTATAAATAAAAATTGTGCATCAGTATGTTTATGAGCTTAATCTAAGGTACTATAATCATGAAGTACAGAATTAGTATCACATTCATTTAAATCACTCTTCTTTCCAGTAACTTTAGTTTAAAAATCAAATTATAGCAAAGCAACACCACTACATTCTTGGTCACCTTGGGTAATTATTTCTTCTGATTGTGTTTGTTTAGTGAATATTACAAGGGCAAAGACATGTGGTATTCAAGGAATATTATTCAGTACTACAGTTCTGCCCATTTCTATTGGCCATCACTTGCATAGCAGGTAAATTCAGTTGCTACTTATGTGAATCTGTGAAACATCAACATAAGAAGTCAGTCAGAAAATGACCCATATACAAGGAAAAATAAAATTATAAATATTTTTTTCTTTTATGCAGTTCAAGCAACTCAATATTACAACTTTCCAAATAAACAATTCATATATAAACACACACACACACACACACACAAAACACATGGCAAAGAATGAGACACATATGAGACACATTATCAGGTTTTCACGACATAGCCAATCTACCTTAACTTACAAATAACTTTGATAAAGAAAATGTTTTTTTAAGAATTATAATTTGAACATTTAAATCAAAGAGGTTATTCAAACCTGCTAGTATAAAGGACTGAAAGTATATACATCAAGATTTCAAGACCATAAAATTCAGAAAGAAATTTAGTTTTTAAAGTTCCTCAAGGTCTAAGATAAGCTTGACGGCACTGACTCTGACTTGTACTTTGTATGGAGTTATACTTTATGCTGTTCTGGGGTGTGCAGGCCACTTGAATTCGTGTCTGGCGCTAATAAATACGTATTTTCCTCTCTACCTTTGTGGTTTTAAATTGAGGGGAAAATTCTATTGGTCAACAAGACTAACGACCAACCCTCACTCATGTGAGACTGGAAGTAGCAGAAGCAGGGATCCCACCCACACCCTCCCAAACTCAGAAAATGTACAGAAGCATCACCCTGCCCCACAGGGTTCAGTCAGGCACAGCCTGTGCTGCTCCCAAGAGCCACACCGCACTCTGCCATGGCATGGCTGCTGCTCATGCCCTGGGCACTTTCTCCTCACAGCAACACCACTGTACATAAACAACTGTCACCCACCACTGTCCCCATCAAACAGAAAGCTTTCCTCAAAATCCACACTCGGGGCAGGAGACAGCACCTGCGATCAGCTTTCCTGTTTGCCCTGAAGTCATTTCAATACAGTGTAATCATGAGGGCTTGTGTACAAACAGAAGATTCCCACAGGAGCTCTCGGCTCTACAAACCGCTCTTCTGCAGAGCTGCGGGGATCATGTGCAGTGGAAATATACCAGCAGCATCGCTGGATCTCCAAGCCTGGTCCTGAATGACAGGGCCTAAAGGCCAACGGCGAAGGGAGCCACCATTCTGTTCTAACACACAGGGGCCTGCCCTTTGCATCCCTCCTCCATAAGTGGTTTCCTGATGTGAGAAGAGAATATTTTTGTGGTAGCAAAGAGGAAACTGGGAAAGAAGGGAATCTTTTAGATCCTAGAATACTCTCATTCGTATGTTGCCCAGTGCTGTGCGGTGTTCTTGTACACGACTATGGAAGTGGGTCAAATACTGCAAAGACAGTGAGAGAGCACTTTGTCCACTCTACTCACACACACACACTGTCGTAAGTACGGGCAGCTCTGGGGCTGTGACATAGCCTACTTCATAGTGAATCAGTCTTACTCTGCCTTCTCCTATAAGGAAGTAGTGAAACAATTAGAAGCATGGGCTTTCTGATTAGACATGCCTGTCTTCAAGTCTATATAATATTACTTCCTAACAAGGTGCCAAACAAATGCTGCCAAACTTTTTTTTTAATTGAGTTTATTGGTACATTTTAGGTATACAGTACAGTTACATTCATTATTAAGATCTTGTACTTTTACATGACAGGTCTTGGTTCTCATTTTTTCCCCTTATCCCTGCCCTCCCTTCACCCCCTCCTCCCCTCCCCATTTACAAACATTTTATTTCCATTTTTTGCATTTTCTCATATTTTTTTCTTTTCCTTTATTATCTTTCCCCTATCCTTCCCAGTTTCTCTACACCTTTAGCCCTTTTCTTCCTATTTCACATTGTCAATTATATCATTAGGATCTTACGTACTATTATAGTTTTTCACACCAGAGAAACTACTTGGTATTTACACGTGTGACTTATTTATTTCACTTAGGAATCCCCTCCCCTTACAAACATTTTATTTCCATTTTTTGCATTTTCTCATATTTTTTTCTTTTCCTTTATTATCTTTCCCCTATCCTTCCCAGTTTCTCTACACCTTTAGCCCTTTTCTTCCTATTTCACATTGTCAATTATATCATTAGGATCTTACGTACTATTATAGTTTTTCACACCAGAGAAACTACTTGGTATTTACACGTGTGACTTATTTATTTCACTTAGGAGTATATCCTCAATATGTATTCATTTTCCTATGAATGAATCTAATTTTTCATTCTTTATGGCTGAGTAGTAGTCCATTTTATAGAAAAAACACATCTTTATTCAGTTTCCAACTGATGGGCAAATGGGCTGTTTCCAAGTTTTAGCTATTACAAACTGTGCCGCTATAAACATAGGTGCACATGTATCACTGTGATATGATTTGTTTAATTCTTTTGGAAAGATACCCAGCAGAGGGATGGCTGGGTCAAATGAAACCTCTAGTCTCAGCTCTTTGAGGTATCTCCATATTGATTTCCATAGTGGTTGCACCGGTCTGCACTCTCATCAACAATGGAGAAGGGCTCCTTTCTCCCCACAGCCCGCCAACACTTGTTATTGTTTGATTTCTTGACAGCAGCCATTCTTTGTGGGGTGAGGTGGAATCTCAGTGTTGTTTTCATCTGCATCTCTCGAATGACCAGTGATATGGAACATTTTTTCATATATTTACTTGCTGCTTTTACTTCTTTGTCTGAGAAATGTCTGTTCATTTCAGATGCCCATTTTTGAACTGGGTCTTTATATTTGGGGGGGCTGGTTGTTTTGAGTTCTTTATATATTCTAGATAAGAGCCCTGTGTCTGAGGAGCAGCTGGTAAAAACTTTTTCCGACATTGAAGGTTGTCTCTTATTTCTGTTGATGGTTTCTTTTGCAGCGTAGAAGCTTTTTAATAAGATAAGATCCCAATTGTTGATTCTTTGTGCTACTTCCTGTGCTACTGAGGATTTGTTCATAAAGTCTTTTCCTATGCCAATGTCTTCAAGAGTTCTGCCTAACTTAGTTTCCAGCAATTTTAGTGTCTTTCTTAATATTTAGATCTTTAATCCACTTCGATTTTACTTTAGTGCACGGTGAAAGATAAGGGTCTAGTTTTAATAATGCTGCCAAACTTCTTCAAATCTTGGTCTCCCTTTGTAAAATGGGACAAAACCATGTATTCTTTTTCAGAGTTCCTGAGATGATATGAGCTAATAATTGTGAAACTATTATGCATGGTGCTGAGATAAGATGTTGTACAAGTAACATTCAGCACTGGTAGTTAGGATGATTATCCCTTTAAAAAGAGCCTTCAATTTTTAAAAGCATCCTATGATTTATGCACGACAAATCACATATAGTTACAGTTATTTTAAAATAAAGCTGAGAAGGGCCGGGGATTTAGCTCAGTGGTTCTTCTGCCTACCTTGCAAGCACAAGGTCCCAAGTTCAATCCCTGGTACAAAAAAAAAAAAAAAAAAAAAAAAAAAAAAAAGTAACATTCTTTCAAAATAAAAAAGAGAGAAATGTCTGGAATTGAAGAAAGGAAATCTGAATGGCTGGAAACTCAGGAAGAATGAGCATATCTGCTGCAGACTGCAGAGGAGATTGGAGCAGAATCTCAAATGCTTACTTTCTATTAAAATAAGGGTTAAATCTGAGCAATGGGCTTGTTTAGTTAAGAACCTAACCTAAAATTGGGAAGGGCTGGCTCAGGGACAGGACTCATCTCACTTAACATGAGCAAGGAGCACTGGAGAAGAAAGAGGAACACTCTTCCCTCGAGGAGATGAGTCCAAGAACCACATGGTGCATGAGATCTGCACTCAGGACAGAGCTGAGCTGCATCATGGACTGGCAAATAGTTACACAGGCTTGGGTCACTCTCACAAGTGCCAGAGTTAGGCAGACCTGTAAGGGTGTAGAACAACCCATTATATGGTCAGCACCTTTCTACAGCAGCACAGTTTAACAGATTATGTGCTCTGTGACAAAACTTCAGACACCTCTGAAGCTAATCTCATCATCATCCCCAACCCTAAGACACAAGTAGAGAAACAATTAAAGGTGAGGCATCTCTAATCATGCTCTCTTGCAGCTCTGCATCCTACTTAGGACTGAGAAGTCACATAGAAGGCCTTAGGAAAAGTCAAAGAAATAGAAGCAAAGCCAAGATAGTTACTCATGCCTGTAATCCCAGCTACCTGGGAGACTGAGGCAGGAGGATCTCAAATTCGAGGCCAGCATGGGCAAATTAAGTAGACAGCCGCTCTTACAATAAAAAGGTCAGGGATGCAAGTCAGTGGCAGAGTGTCCGTGGTTTCAACATCCAGTATGGGGGAGGGGAAGGGAGGAGAGGGGAGCAGAGGGAAGGAAAGGGGAGGGAGGAGGCA